TATCTTATGAGTGAAAACTATATTGTTAAGGTGCCTAATGGGGGCATGGTTGGCATAGTCACCTGAGGTGCTTCATGTCTTTGTGTAGAGTTATGTCCCTTATGCATGCCAGGATTCTATGACTGTTAGAATTCCAGATTTGCTCTGGTCATGATCTTGCGTTTGTCAGCACTATGTTTTCAGGAGGTCCCAAGAGTGGAGAATGTCTAGGTCCTGCATTACTGTCAGCTTTCCTCCTGATGGCCAGTGATATAAAAAGAATTTACTGAGTATTGGTGAAAAAAAGGGGCATCACTTCCAGCTCTTTATGTATGATGTACCTCAGACTTTGCACCCATTTTACCATGGTTTAAGTGTTCCAGGGTGTAACTGAAGATTGGCGGAAATATTTATATGTTTTGATCCAAGTACCCTGGCAACACTTTCACACTAACAGCCCTTTCAGTCGAGATGGGCTGTAGCTGGTGTGGTATTCACTACTTTTGGTTGTGAGGAAAACAGTACTCTTCCAGAGTACACCAGAACTTAAGAAATCATTGTTTCCAATTTGACCCTCGGCGAGGACTTCATGGATGTATTCCACTGAAGTCCTCCATTGATTTTGGTGTTGATATTATTAAGTACTGTTCAATTTAAATTTGCGGCAATTTGATGTGTGCAATTTGTCTTATAAAGATTGACTTCTTTCCTGAACATAAATAGTCTTGTTTCCTGTGTTTTGTATACCAGGCTGATTCAACACTTGCTTGGTAATGCTGAGGTTGTTTTGAGGAGCGAGTCACTGTGAAGTATTTTTTTTTGCAAACTGGTAATACTTAAATAGAAACCAGTAGTAACACAAGCAGACTTTAAGTACTGGATAGGTCAGTTTCTTTGTAACATACTGTTTTCTACACCACTATTTGTGTACAGCTCCCATGGTAATTGTATTGTGATTTGCCAGCTTTACATAATGTTGACCAGTGTTCTGTTGGCCATTACTTCATGTCTGTCTGTCTGTCTGTCAGCAGTGTTGTCAGCTAGATTCTCTGTATCATACGTTGTACATTTTATGCAGTGCCCATACTGTAAATCATTATTCTCCAGTGATCACAAACATACGGAAATAAACTTTTTAAGCAATACCCCTTTCATGTCTTTTTTCCAGCACAGATGCAAAATACTCTGTCTTCCTCAGAGCATGGATGGAAGTGGATGCGACAATCTTTAACATGTTAAAAACTTGTTAGTGTATACTTTGATTGTAAATATATTGTCTAATCTTTTATCAGTTAATGTCAACATGGAAATGAAATAAAATGTAGTCCCCCTCACCTCCCCCCAAACTCAACTAAAAAACCCAACCCAGTTCAGTTCCCATGGTTTGGCCAAGAAGTGCTGGTAACAGATACATTAGATTTGTGCTTCTTTGTGGTGCTGGGATCTGCTGGTTTTGGATTCGAATCCTTTATTCACCTGGACCTTTCATCTTACCTTGCTGGCATTATGCTTCTTGGGGTGTGGGATGTGTGTTAGGAAAGGTGTTCATGGAAGGTGCCATCAAGCTGACTTACATGATTAATTACATACTCTTCAAAGTGGCTTTAAACGTAATTCCCCACTATAATCATTTTGGTAATTTTAACTAAATTTTATGAAAGAAATAGATTGATGAGGGACTCTGGCTAACCATCATTTTAAAGTAATTCCTGACGATGATAGATCTGTGTTTGGTGCACTTTCATCTCAGGAATGCCCAACAAGCACTCCAACCAAACACCTGATCAATGATTTATGGGTGATAAGTAATTAGATTTGGGGATTTTTGTAAAGAGACCGGTATTAATGTTTTTGGCAAATCACACTATTTATGTCTGTAGGAGCAGGTGAATAATGGTGGTCTATTGTTCTTCACGACAGTTCTTCTGGCACTGGAGGAAACCCGATAGACTGACACCTAACCTCCACAGCAAGCCAGCTGGAACTCTGTCAGTGCTGTTCAAAATCTTCGAGACTTCACTTGGTCTTCCAACAAACCCTGAAACAAATACATTGTATATCCACAAAGCCCATGCAAGCCTAGAATATGTGGCAAGTCTAGATTTCCAGTTTCAGGATGAAGAAAGTCTCTGGGCTGCTTTTTCCTTATATTTGATAATTATGTTTATGAACAGTTTCTGGTGTCCCCCCGCCGTGATGTTGCTGGAATATTGCTAAAAGCGGCGTAAAACCAAACTCAGTCAGTATGAACAGTTTCTTCCTGTAAAATATGTTCGTTTCAGAGATGTTAGTCTTGCGCCTCACAGTGTATGCAGTGTATGTTATGGATGGGAACTTGTCACTGCAGACAGCAGTGGTATAATTCATGACAGTAGTGCACAGACAGGAGCATCAGGCATGACCGAGTTTGGAACACTCACTAAGGACGTGTTGCTGATGTTGTTTGCCGACGTCAGGCAGCAGATTATCGTCACCGGGATCATAATTCCTTCCACAATGCCACACCCCTGGGTCATGGAGGGCCGTGGGGTAGGCAAGTGGTTAAAGTCGCCGCTCGCCACGCCCCAGACCCTGGTTCATTCCCCAGGTGGGTGCAATGTGATTCTTTGTGGCATGCTGTGGTCGACATACCGGTAAGTTAATCCGAAATCTGTAAGTGAAATCAATTCGGTATGAAACAAACAGACAACAAAAAAATGTCGTGCTGTTAACAGTTGTAGTCCTAAATGAAGAATGTTTCCACATGGGTACAATGTGTGACGCCCATTTCTGGTGTCCCCCGCCGGGATGTTGCTGGAATATTACTAAAAGCGGTGTAGTACCAAATTCAGTCAGTCAGTCAATGAAGAAGGTTTACAAATCAATGCAAATTACTGCAAATTACTGAGGTAGTATTAAACAAAATAGTGATGGTAATGGCAATAGTGTGTCGGAGACAACAATTATTCACATAGCAGCAGAAGTTGACAACCTTCCGAAAGATGGGCTTGCTATCCAGATTGAAATTAACGATCTCCACCGACTGCCGTACCTATAGGACGGAAGACACTTATGTATAGGTGACCTAAACAAAAAAAAAGACCTTAATTTCATCTCTATGTACCTTTATTAAACCAGAAAGTGTGTAGCTTTGGTTTGAATTCCTTCTCCCATACAGACTGTTACTGGAACATTTCACAGAAGTGACCACATATAAACATGTTAATTGGACACAGTTTGATGACGTCAGTTGATATACATGTACTCTTATTTATGTGACTCGCCTGTATAATCATTGTACCTCGCCTGTATGTATGCATGTGGAAGCCTGTGACGATAATGAGTTATAATTATAATTTCTGGTCAAAGCTGGTTTCGGACACGTTGAACGACGTGACACAATTAATCACGTGACTGTGTGTCATCGTACCATGATGGCGTAAGCTGACGCTGTGATAAATTGTGTTAAAAGAAACACTAGTTTTATCATGGTAATTTTATTGATGTCATCCGTCTTCCAGGGGTATAGGTACAACCATGAATAACAATTATCTGGTTGTTCAGTCTCCGGATTCACGGCGGCCATAACGCAATGATTTCCCTTTTACACGTGTCATAACGTTAAATTAGTTATTGATCGTGTCAAATGTTAGCAAAACTAAATAAATGAATCAGGACCTGTTATCCTGGTCTGGTTTCATATGTTATTGAAGCGGGCGGTGATTGAGTAGTTTTGGAGCGGTCCCCGACTTAATGAAGATTACTGATAGATAAGACATCCGCAGCTGATCATCCGACTAGAAGGCGGATCTTTAGTTGGGTACTAGATGAACTTGTGGTGTTATCAACCCCTCATGGCGTCAGTTACCACACTTTCTGTTAAAGTCGGGTGATTTGGGGCTTATAAATAAACATGACTACTGGGCATCGACAGCTGAGTTGTGAAAACTGTATATATCCATGAACAGTTCTCCTCTGCTACAGTCTCTAGTGGAAAGTAACACGTACTTGTGCTGTTGTACAATAACACTTACATCAATGGTGAAATAGTGCATATCTGATGATGATTGGCACGTCACTTGGAAATGATATCTGTCAAAACACGGAACACACCATGCCGGAAGTAAATTCAATCTAACTCTCACCTTCAGTGTATCCTGGCTTTCAAAACCAAGGGTACAAGCTGTCAGAAAATACATGAAGGAAACATTTTACTGCGGGTATCAAAGAACACGTTTATCTCATCTCGTGACCTGTACTGGTAAACTTGTCAGTTTAACTCATGAAAATATCAGCGTTTGTACAACACTTGATTGAAACTTAGCCAAATATATCCTCTTCTGGTATCAATCAGCATGTAATATTACTTTATCAATAGTTAATTTCATATATAAGTCATAATATAATGACGTCATTGAACAAAGGAGGATGCACTTTCGCGACTTGACTACAAAACCACATCTGTACGAGTGACATTCAAAAGAAGTACGGTATTTTCTGGTGGATGAAGTGCACAAAAGATTGAAGTTTAAAAGACATAAACAACTTACTGAGATTCATATTTTTTTATCAAATTAGGGACCGTTCAATTTATGGCTAGGGGGGTGATGATGATTTTTGGGGTGTCACCCATTTTATTCTGAGGAGCGAGGGGGTCATCAATTTTTGTACACACATACTTGGGTAATGGGGTCAGCAAGTTTGTACATAAAATTATGTTTCAAATAATGCTTAGAAATTATGGGAGTGGGGGAGTGGGTAATTGATTTTGTACATAGATTTATTTTGTTCATCAGGGCATATCATTGTACATGCTACTCATCAGAACGCTATCATTATCATCCCCGGTCCCATAAGTCATGCACAGTCTTTCATTTATATATTTTCCGCATTCGTTTAACCAATGACAATGCAATCTTGCAAGATGTGTCAGTATGTAACATCAGTATCCTTTCTTTCATTTTTTTTAATTTTAAACAAAAGAAGAAATGTTAAACACGTTTTGTAAATGTTTTTCCCGACGCGTTTGGATGAGAAGCAAACAGTGTAACTATTATTGGTCGTGACGTCACCATTCAAGATGGCAGCCTCCATGAAAGTTCGTGTGCTGGAACTATACAGCGGGATTGGAGGCATGCACTGGGCTCTTAAAGGTCAGTGGTTACTTTATAGTAATCATAGAAATGTTAAGACGCATGTGATATTGAATGTATGGCTTCTTTTCCTTTAGCTCTTTTCAAACAGTGCAAGACATATCATGTGGTCCCTGTTTTCGTGACAACTGACATCGTCAATTTTGACAACTGACTGAGTTTGGATTTACGCCGCTTTTAGCAATATTCCAGCAACATCACGGCGGGGGACACCAGAAATGGGCTTCGGCGTGACGAGCCAACGCTTTAACCACTAGGCTACCCCACCGCCCCCAATTTTGACAACAGCTATGGTTGTACATGTAAATACTTAAAAAAATTCATCTCTTTCAGCGAAGGATATGTTGACTTATCTTAAAAAAGAATCTACAGAAATGAAGAACCGTTGAAATAAATTTGGTGCGATTATAGTATACCACCTTATTTTCTAACTATTTGGCAAACTGCCGTCATGAATTAATCTCACTTTTCCATTGGATTTTGGGATTGCACCAATGGCACTTACAATTTTTGGTTTAGATGATACTTTAACATAATTCCCTAAACTCATTTCTTCTAAAATTTGTTGTTCAACCAACAACTTGCTTTCCATTGCTGATCTATGATTCTTAGAAATACAATGTTCAGTCTCACCACTCACATCATCATCATCAATAAGTTTAAAACCATTTGCAATCCCATCAAGTATATAGTCTCTATCTGGATCTGTGAGTGGTAGCAGCTCCTCCCAAGCAGCAAAATTTAATGAGTTGAATTCCCTTGTGACATCGACTGGCCGTTTTTTGGATAAAAACGGTCTTCTCTAGGAGATCCACGAAAGGATCCCTGGTCAGCAGTAAGGTCATGGTCTAACTTGCTGTGCCTTCCAAAACAAACACTACAGACATGCCTCAGTTTGCACAGTTCATCTCGACAAAATGTGAAATTGTACCGCCTACATATTTCTTGACCATCAGGTGTGAAAGGTCCGCGTGGTCTATAATGGACGCCTGTTGTTGCGTGATTGCTCATTCTGCCTCAACAGTTCTTTAGTTGTACCATCGATTTTGGACCAATTGATGGTCCCGATGTCTTGTGATGCGCTCCCCAACGAAACCCTTCCTTGGCTTGAAGCATACGATATTCCTTATCGATAGCACAACACTTTGCCAAATATACTTGGATGAGTACCTAGCAATGTCCTGCATATACTTGAGATAGCTATCAACATCATCATTGTCGAATGCACCTTTCTGGACCTGGTCACGCTAATAATCCTAAATTTGCATACATCCACATGTCCAATGATATCTTAGATAGGTTTGTAGATTTTTTCCTACATCGATGCTAACACCTCCCCTAGATCGACTGTTTGTCTTGCCGTGATCCAGTGAATTGACCCATAGAAAATTTGTGTAGTCTAAATGTTTATTACCATTGGCCGCCATCTTGGACGCCTTTTGACCTTCACTTTGGTTGACCTCTCTGTTCACGCGGATCGCCCTGTTCACGAGTCAGTTTCACCTTTAATGTGTCAATTTCTCTTCTGAGTTCGGCTTTCTTGTCTTCTAACCTCAGTTGATGTAACTCTTCACTTAATCGCCTATATTCAGAATCAAAGTCATTTTTCTCCACGCCAGCCGGAGTTGTCATGGCGCCTGTCGACAAGGACACAGGGGACACTCGTAAGGCTTGATCTTCCTTGTTTCTTCGATACTGGACTTTTCAAAGCTTCCATCACGCCTTGCATCCGGTTACCAGCGGTCTTTATGCTTGGGTTTTACCTCCTGTATACTTTCTGCCATTATGTTTTTCCTTACCAATTGACTGATTTTTCGTCACGATAGATCAAGCATGCCGCCATTTCAACCGCTAGGACGACAAGAATTAGGTCAAGGGAGATAACTCTAATTAACATGAAGAGCGGTAACTTAAGGCCGTTGGCTTGCCGCTAAAATAAGGAACTAACATCATTAAAAACTATTTTAATAATAAAATATTACGTAAATACTTAAAAAACATTTCATCTCTTTCAGCGAAGGATATGTTGACTTATCTTAAAAAAGAATCTACAGAAATCAAGAACCGTTGAAATAAATTTGGTGCGATTATAGTATACCACCTTATTTTCTAACTATTTGGCATGTTTCCAATAATTAATAGAGTGCCGTCCGGTAATTCCGCGCACCTAAGCATATAGATCGCAACACGGCAACTAACGTCTCTTATTTTTTGTGGTTTACGTGACTAAACATGCTGGTATGCATCATATTTATCTAGAAATATAAGTTTCATTGACGACTATAAGATTCTAACGTTGCATTATGCCATACGGTTGACCTTACCGGCGTTCTGACGACATCGCTTGCTGTCCGGTAATTCTGCGAAGCAATTCTCGACGCGCAAAACATCCAGCTGGAGATCCCAAGTATGGAAGCTTATTAGGGCCAGATTATTTTCAAAAATCACTTCATCAATGTAAGGAAGAGTGTTTCATATTAAATCCAATTATGAATAATGAAGAAAAAGTTTTAAAAGTCTGAAGAAAAATGAATTTTCATAAAACTGTCAAGTTATCTGTCACTTACTGGTATTTACTTACCTTTAGTGATTAAAAGCCAGTCTCTTGTACAAATGTCCCGATTTCAAGCTAAGTGGTAGCAGATGATTTTACCTTCAATATGGAAGTACGCTATTGCAGCTGCGAAGAATTATCGTCTGCGCCGAATTACAAGACTCGCTTGTACTTTAATAAAATTAATACTCAGGGTTAGGTTAGGGTTAGCTTTTCTTTCGTTTTCTTTCTGGGTGGTGAACATATCCTATAGCGGCTCTGAAACAGTGATTGCTTATACATATAAAATTGTACATCTTCCTCATGCATTTCAGAAAGTGGGCTGTCCTTTGAAGTTGTTGCAGCCATTGACATCAACACCACTGCAAATCAGATCTACAGACACAACTTCCCTGATGTTAAACTTCTACCCTCCAGCATTGATGTATGTAATAGTGTATGTTCAGCCTGTGCAACAGAATAAAACTCCAGTTCAGAGTCAACAGATACTGCTGCACCTTGTGTGATTTTAGATGTTGTATGTTTGTGTTGCCTCGGTCAACACCATTATGGTTGTATCTGGGAGACCAATAACTGTGGTAAATAGTGTGATCTGCTATAACAGTTGATGATGGTCACCTGAAAACCTGATCCAGTTTGCATAACAAACCTCCTACGTCAAGTGATAGAGTGCTGGGGACATGTTCTAGGTACTGAATCCAAGTAAAAAATAGTTACATTACCTAATGAAGAGGAATAATCATCAGACTTGATTAGTCCAGTATACATGACCCTCAGGCCTATATCACTATGCATGAGAGGGATTCTAAACTATCCATCCCCATCGAGATTCAAACCAAATTAAAATGGCTGAAATTCCCATCCAGTCAGCAGGGATGGAAATAACTTTAAAATTGCTAGTGTACTCCGGAACAGTGGCACATGTAAAATCACTTGCCCTGATAATTTTTCCACTATACCGGCCGTTTTCTTGTTGATTTTTTAATATAAACAACATAATTAACATTGGAAAGTCAACTGGACACCGGTACAGTGTGATATACAAATTTGCTTGGCCGACAGAAAAAACACTGGACTCTGACGTTGGGCAATGGGTTATTTCCACCCCTGAGTCAGTACCTGATTTTGAGCATTCATACCTTTGTTTGCTCACTTGTACACAAACGTGTATTTATTTGGTATGTATTTAACTTGTGTACAATGAAGTCCTTTTACGTCATCCAGGTGGTAGGTGAGAACAAGTTATCCAACATGTGTGTGTGTCTGCCAAACTATACACGTACAGTTCTCCTTGTGAATGGATTGTCTTGTTCCTGATAAGTGAGTGAGTGAGTGTGAATATAAAAGAAGGTTACAACAGTGAAAATGAAAACTTCTACCAAAGATGATGGCCTTATTCAAATCAAATGAAATCCTCCAATGTCTGAGGCTGGTAACCTGCTGCTTGGATACTTTCAGTCACCGGTTTGTCTGGTCCTGGCTTGACCCTTTTGGGCTCTTGGGTTATACTTGACTTTTTGTTGGCATGCTACAACATTCACACACATTGTCCTTCAAGAAACACTTTGATTTCTTCAGAAACTGACAGCTGCACAGTTTGAAGCCTGGAACATCGATGCTGTGTTGCTGAGTCCACCATGCCAGCCATTCACACGGATGGGGAAGAAGCGAGACGTGGAGGACATCAGGACCAAGTCCTTCATGCATGTCCTCCATCTTATCTCTGTGTAGGTAGACTGTAGATACATGGAGTACCATGTCCAAGACAAACAGTCTAATGGCCATGACTGGACAGTCAGTGGGCGGGACAGTCAGTGTATAGACAGTTGTCAGACATTCTGCATATAGAGATATTATTTGTTTCCTGTAAAGGATATGGAGATATTGTTAGTTTATTCTAAAGGATATGGAAATATTGTTTGTTTCATGTAAAGGATATGGAGATAATGTTAGTTTCTTCAAAAGGATCTGGAGATATTGTTTGTTTCATGTAAAGGATATGGAGATATTGTTAGTTTCATGCAAAGGATATTGAGAGTTTTGTTAGTTTCTTCTAAAGGATATGGAGATATTGTTAGTTTCATGTAAAGGATATGGAGATATTGTTAGTTTCTTCTAAAGGATATGGAGATAATGTTAGTTTCTTCAAAAGGATCTGGAGATATTGTTTGTTTCATGTAAAGGATATGGAGATATTGTTAGTTTCATGCAAAGGATATGGAGAGTTTTGTTAGTTTCTTCTAAATGATATGGAGATATTGTTAGTTTCATGTAAAGGATATGGAGATATTGTTAGTTTCTTCTAAAGGATATGGAGATATGGTTAGTTTCATGTAAAGGATATGGAGATATTATTAGTTTCTTCTAAAGAATGTGGAGATATTGTTAGTTTCTTCTAAATGATATGGAGATATTGTTAGTTTCTTCTAAAGGATATGGAGATATTATTAGTTTCTTCTAAAGGATGTGGAGATATTGTTAGTTTCTTCTAAATGATATGGATATATTGTTAGTTTCATGTAAAGGATATGGAGATATTGTTAGTTTCATGGAAAGGATATGGAAATATTGTTAGTTTCATGTAAAGGATATGGAGATATTGTTGGTTTCTTCTAAAGGATGTGGAGATATTGTTAGTTTCTTCTAAAGGATATGGAGACATTGTTAGTTTCTTCTAAAGGATATGGAGATATTGTTAGTTTCTTCTAAAGGATATGGAGACATTGTTAGTTTCTTCTAAAGGATATGGAGATATTGTTTGTTTCATGTAGTTCATGTAAAGGATACAGTTATAATATGGATTTAATTCTTTTGTCTAGAGTAAAGAATAAGCCTCGATATATTCTGGTGGAGAATGTCAAGGGATTTGAGACATCAGAGGCGAGGCAGCGACTGATGGGGACACTGACACAGTGCAGCTACCACTATCAGGTACTGGTTCACCTCCTAGAGGCTTGGGTCTCTGATTGATATAAATGTTTCCTTCATACGGAACAGAGAGTAACGTGAGTTCTGTTATTCCTGGTAATCAAATTCTTCAAATATCGGTTTGTTCAATTTCAAACCATGAAGTCTCCAGTAGTGGGTCCTTACAATTTGCAATTGATGAGTTTCACAACATAAGAGGGATGGTAGGGTAGCCTAGTGGTTAAAGTGTCTGCTCATCACGCTGAGGACCAGGGTTCGATTCCCCACATGAGTACAATGTGTGAAGCCCATTCCTGGTGTCCCCTGCTGTGATATTTTTGGAATACATGTATTGCTAAAAGCGGCGTGAAAACCATACTCACTCACTAAAAACATAAGAGTTCAGTTCAATGAGTTTCAAGGAGGATAAGGCATCTCAGATGGGGCTGAGTAACTATTGATGTTTGAGTGAGTGAGTGAGTATCACAGTAGTTTCAGTTGTTGTATGTAAACTTCCAGTTGTGTCATGGTAGTGAACACAAGAAATAGCTTCACTAATTGTACCCAGTTGTGTCATGGTAGTGAACACAAGAAATAGCTTCACTAATTGTACCCAGTTGTGTCATGGTAGTGAACACAAGAAATAGCTTCACTAATTGTACCCAGTTGTGTCATGGTAGTGAACACAAGAAATAGCTTCACTAATTGTACCCAGTTGTGTTGTGTCACAAGAAATAGCTTCACTAAGTGTGTCAACACAAGAAAGTGAAATAAGCTTCACTAATTGTACCCAGTTGTGTCATGGTAGTGAACACAAGAAATAGCTTCACTAATTGTACCCAGTTGTGTCATGGAAGTGAACACAAGAAATAGCTTCACTAATTGTACCCAGTTGGGGAGTCAACCTGAGACTTAGGGTGTTGAGAATGAAGGCTTTAGCCACTATGCTACCCTATCCCCCCAGTCAACGTAAGTACAACATAGAGAAATTTCCAGGGGTGGGGGTGGTAGGGGTTGGGGGTGGGTTCACCCCCCTGAACCCCCCTCTGGATCCCCCACTTTACAACCTGGGTACACATCTATCTGTGTGACAGACAACTGGGGTTCGAGGTACATGTGTACTGAAATATCATTTGTTATGACACTAAATTAGAAAAGAATATGTACTATATGTACTGAAATATTTGAAGTTGTTAAAGTGTAATTGGAACCGAATCACTTTGTTATTTGTACAAACTGCTCACAGATCATACTTTTACAAATGGAGTCTGATGAGTTTATTTCAAGGGTAAGTCAATCATCAGCCATAGCAGTCTGGCAAATGTTGAGAAAATAATGTCGTCTGCTGTGATAATGAGATGAGGATTGATGATATCACTGAATGTTGTCCTGGTGTGTTGACTTGATTAGTCACCATGATGTAGGGGGCATGTTGCTGACTGTGGTGGAGATCCACTTCACCTGTACCAGGGATGTGGACATGAACAGCTCCCATTGATTGTGTCATTGTTGTTATTAATGTCAGCAAATATCATGTTTCAGGAGTTTTTGCTGACTCCACTTCAGATGGGCATCCCGAACTGTCGACTGCGATACTATCTCATAGCCACTCTCGCACAAAATGGATTTTCATTTCCGACTTCAGAATCCATTCTTGAGGACTTACCTAAGGAGGTTTCTGATTGGCTGACTTACAAAAAACTCATCTGTGATACTTCTTTCCAGCCGTCATGTGACCAGTCATGTGATACAGAAACAACTCCCACACAGAATGGTGGTGTTCATGATGCAAGTGAAAGTACTCTGGAGGATGCAGGAGAAAATTTGCGACAAGTTGCTGACGAAACTCATCAGGAGTATAGGGGCTGTCAGAGATTGAAACACTTTCTAGAGAAACAGTCGTGTGAATATTTCCAGGACTTTTTGCTGGATGATAAGGAGCTCACTCGTTTTGTGATCATGGACATCGTCCAACCTTCTTTGAATAAGTCAGCTTGCTTCACTAGGAGGTATGTTTTCTTTTCAAATGTTATACCAAATTTGATTTTGTTGTATTCTGACTGAACATCATTTATTGTAATTTGAAACACAAACCTTTTCACCATATGTACCTTAGTGCAGAAAGTGGTTTCTGGATGTTGTAATCATCCTGTATTTAGTCTGACCGACCAAACTTGCTGTGTGTAATTCTGACCACAGAGAAACATTGTAAGGTGATGTCAGTCATTTTGCTGTTATTTCTGAAGGCATGATATCATATCGCCTCCGCGCCTTGCTTAAGTAACGATTCAGTAATACCCATGTTCAAGTCCGTAGGGTATAAACTACTGGAGGACCAGAGAGAGAGTTTTCATATGTACTTGGTAGATGGCATAAAGAATGGTATCCTGAATGATTTCAGAGACCTACTGTATACTGATGTTAACTCTGCCATTTCTGAAATTACATCCCTACTTCAATTATCAGGCGTTAGAGCTGGAGCCATCAGACTCATTTCACCCTATCACCGTCAATCGCGCCAACCTCCTTGGTTTGATCAAGAATGCGACAAACTTAAGTCCGAAAAATACAGACTTTTAAACTATTTCAGAAAGCATAAGTGCGATTCTAACCTCGATTCTTATGTGAATGCAAAAACACAATTTTAAAAATGTTGCCAATTAAAAGATAATTATTTAGCCAAAGCTGCAGATGATATTAAAATAGCAGCAAGAAATCCTGACAAGATATTTTGGAGCACGCTAAAACGCCATCTTCAGAAAAACGGTTCTCACAGATAATATTTCTCCGTACCAATGGTATCATTACTTCAAAGGTCTCCTTTCCTGTAGAATCTGAAACTGCTTTCAGATTTTGATAAATCAGTGTATGATTTTGTCTCAACGATAACTGTGATGAGTGTGAAGAGCTTTCATTCTCGCATGATGTTTTGTCAACTCCAATTACCGAAGATGAGGTAATAAAATCTATAAATGAATTGAAATGGAACAAGGCAGCGGGGCATGACGGTATCCCTCCCTCATTTTACAAATCTACTTTTACTTCTTTAGTGTCATATTTGAAAGATTTATTTAATGTAGTTCTTGATAGTGGTAAATTCCCATCGGTATGGAATATAGGTATGATTGTCCCTTTATTCAAGTCTGGGAGTGTATCAGAACCATGCAACTATCGTGGAATATCTCTTCTAAACATTTCTGGAAAATTATTTGCTAATATATTAGAAAAGCGCTTACTGCGCCTGGGTTGATCTAAGCGAGCTACTTGACGAGGGGCTCAAGCTGGTTTTAGATCCGATTATAGTACAACTGATAATTTATTTATATTACAGTCATTATGTACAAAGTACCTCTGCAGACCAAAAGGAGATTCTATTAGCTTTCATCGACTTTTAAGAAAGCCTTTGATTTTGTTGACCGTGAAGAAATTGCTATTTATGTTACATACCAAAGGATGCCATGGCAAAATGTATAATATTTTAAGAAGCATGTATGACTCTGTTGCAGCCTGTGTTAGAACTAATTCTGGCAACACTGAATCGCTTTAACACTTCCGTTGGTGTCGCGACAAGGTTGTGTAATAAGCCCCGTACTCTTCATCTTCTTTATTAATGAACTTGTAGATGATATGTATAAATCATGTAATAATGGAATATTTGTTACTCCCCAAATCAAAGATTTACTTTTGCTTCTCTTTGCAGATGATATTGTTACTTTTCATTCATGGTAAACGGACTGCAGAGACAGATAAATATTCTTCAAACATTTTGTGACACATGGGGACTAGAGTTGAATATGGAAAATCTAACATAGTTGTCTTTAGAAATGGGGTATAGTGGCACATTCTGAAAAATGGTTATTCATTGGCAAAAGTATTAATGTTGTTTCATATTATAAATATTTGGGTCTTCTATTTTCCAGCCGATTAAATTGGTCCATGGCATCTAAAACCCTTGCAGCACAAGCTAAGAAGGCATTATTTCTATTTTAAACTGTTTAAGGCTAATAAGTTTATTTCATTTGACTCAGCTTGCTTACTTTTTGACACTAAAATAGCACCAATATTGTTATATGGATCTGAAATTTGGGGAGTAAACTATTTCAAGCTATAGAAAATGTGCATGCATCATATTTTAAAAGATTTCTTACTGTAGGTAAATTTGCTTCCAACAAAGCCAGATTCTTGGCGCATACAGGCCGCTATAGCATGCATATTGAGAGTCAAATGAGAGCTATCAGATACTGGATTAAACTTATAAGAATGCCTGATTATCGCTACCCCTATCAAAGCTATCAATTATTATTATCCCTAGACAAACGTGGAAAGTATTCTTGGGCTTCTGGTGTCCCAAATGTGTTATTTTCAAGCGGGTTTTCTTATGTTTGGTTTTAAGCAAGATGTTGGTGATATAAAAATGTTTTTGTTAACTTTTAAGCAACGAATAAAAGATATATATATTCAGAATTGGCACGCATCAGTAAATTCATCGAGTTTTCTAAGTCATTATTCACAATGTAAATCGATGTTCGGACCTGAAAAATATATTAGGGTCCTTAATGATAAGTCCCTTTTAAGAAATTTTTGTAAATTTAGAATCTCTACATGCCTTAAAAATACAGCGTTATAGAAAAGATAAAAATACATTGGAAGATTTATCATGTTCTCATTGTTCTTCTGGTAAAACTGAAGATCTTAACGTCACTTATTATTAGAATGTGAGGCATTCTCTGCTGGCGAAAAGAAGTATCTAAAATGCTTTAATGATGCCCCACAAACGATATATAAAATACTTAATTCTAATAACGATGACACTATTAAATCAGCTGCCATTTTCATAAAACATTTGATGTCCATCCTTAAATCACATGTAAAACCATAATTTCGTGTCACGTGACCAATATTTGTTAAAATGAAAATTCAACTGTACTATGGGCCACTGTGCCTCCATTACTGAATAAAACCTGTCTGTCTGTCTGTCTGTCTGTCTGTCTGCATGATATCATGCTGATATCCAATATTTTCTGTTATAGATATGGACATTTTGTAGAAGGTGCCGGCTCAATTGTCCAGATGACAAGCAATGTTAAAGTAAGCAATACTATTATATTTGTGTTTACAGATTTGACCTAACTGAGCATAGAACAACAGTGTTCTTGTAATGGAAGATATATGGAAGTTTGATGTAAAAATAATCCCGTCTGCGTGTCACGTCAATGACCCTGAACACATTACGTGTTGCAGGACCGGACCTGCTGGAGGTGGTCTGATCTGTCTTGGTTATGCTTGTGATCGTAAAACATCTAGATGTGGCATTCGGCCTGTAAGATCCCTTAAAGCCAGCAACAGAGTAAATGTCGAACACTCTTTCTACATGCCTGTATATGTATCCTCAAAAATGTCAGTTAGAAATAATCATTTCCTCCATAAATTGTCTTTCTCTGTCACTTGTCTCTAGATATACGAGATATTTTAGGGCTGAGTATGGCATTAAACAACAAACCAAGATATTTTACAAGCTGATAACATTCTGAACATCCTGTACACCCCATACACACAGCACATCCTGTACACCCCATACACACAGCACATCCTGTACACCCCATACACACAGCACATCCTGTACACCCCATACACACAACACATCCTGTACACCCCATACACACAACACATCCTGTACACCCCATACACAGGACATCCTGTACACTCCATACACACAGCACATCCTGTACACCCCATATACACACAACACATCCTGTACACCCCATACACACAACACATCCTGTACACTCCATACACACAGCACATCCTGTACACCCCATACACACAGCACATCCTGTACACCCCATACACACAGCACATCCTGTACACTCCCATACACACAGCACATCCTGTACACCCCATACACACAGCACATCCTGTACACCCCATACACACAGCACATCCTGTACACCCCATACACACAGCACATCCTGTACACCCCATACACACAGCACATCCTGTACACCCCATACACACAGCACATCCTGTACACCCCATACACACAGCACATCCTGTACACCCCATACACACAGCACATCCTGTACACCCCATACACACAGCACATCCTGTACATCCCATACACACAGTACATCCTGTACACCCCATACACACAACATCCTACATCCTGTACACCCCATACACACAGCACATCCTGTACACCCCATACACACAGCACATCCTGTACACCCCATACACACAGCACATCCTGTACACCCCATACACACAGCACATCCTGTACACCCCATACACACAGCACATCCTGTACACCCCATACACACAGTACATCCTGTACACCCCATACACACAGCACATCCTGTACACCCCATACACACAACACATCCTGTACACATCCTATACACACACACACAGTACATCCTGTACACCCCATACACACAACACATCCTGTACACCCCATACACACAGCACATCCTGTACACCCCATACACACAAATCCTGTACACATCCTGTACACTCCCATACACACGGTACATCCTGTACCTGTACACCCCATACACACAGCACATCCTGTACACTCCCATACACACAGTACATCCTGTACACCCCATACACACAACACATCCAGTACACCCCATACACACAGCACATCCTGTACACCCCATACACACACAGTACATCCTGTACACCCTTATACACACAGCACATCCAGTACACTTCCATACACACAGCACATCCTGTACACCCCATACACACAACACATCCTGTACACCCCACACACCTGTACACCCCATATACACACAGCACATCCTGTACACCCCATACACACAGCACATCCTGTACACCCCATACACACAAACACATCCTGTACACCCCATACACACAGCACATCCTGTACACCCCATACACACAGCACATCCTGTACACTCCTATACACACAGCACATCCTGTACACCCCATACACACAACACATCCTGTACACCCCTATACACACAGCACATCCTGTACACTCCCATACACACAGCACATCCTGTACATCCCATATACACATGCTGTACACCCCACATGTACACACCCATACACACAACCTGTCCTGTACACCCCATACATTATACACAGCACATCCTGTACACCCCATACACACACACACATCACATCCTGTACACTCCATACACACAACACATCCTGTACACCCCATACACACAACACATCCTGTACACCCCATACACACAGTGCACATCCTGTACACCCCATACACACAGCACATCCTGTACACCCCATACACACAACACATCCTGTACACCCCATACACACAGCACATCCTGTACACCCCATACACACAGCACATCCTGTACACCCCATACACACAGCACATCCTGTACACCCCATACACACAGCACATCCTGTACACCCCATACACACAGCACATCCTGTATCCTGTACACCCCATACACAGCACATCCTGTACACCCCATACACACAGCACATCCTGTACACCCCATACACACAGCACATCCTGTACACCCCATACACACAGCACATCCTGTACACCCCATACACATACACACACATCCTGTACACCCCATACACACAATAGCACATCCTGTACACCCCATACACACAACACATCCTGTACACCCCATACACACAACACATCCTGTACACCCCATACACACAGCACATCCTGTACACCCCATACACACAACACATCCTGTACACCCCATACACACAGCACATCCTGTACACCCCATACACACAGCACATCCTGTACACCCCATACACACAGCACATCCTGTACACCCCATACACACAACACATCCTGTACACCCCATACACACACACAGCACATCCTGTACACCCCATACACACAGCACATCCTGTACACCCCATACACACAGCACATCTTGTGAACAATGCTATTAACTCAGTGTAATTTTATCACCTCTAGGCAGTTGAAGCTGTCAGCAAGTTGAAATCTCGGGTTGTTGATCTGCCAGAGCGCCCTCTACTGGGAGAAGAAGAACTGGATCTCCTGCGAGGTCTACAGTTACGATACTTCACGCCTCGGGAGATTGCCAATCTATTGTGTTTCCCCCAACAGTTTGGTAGGTACAATTTGGAAATGGTTATGAAGTTAATGAGGTTATGAGACACTTATTAACAAAGGACAAATTACAAGTTCACAAAACAAAATGCATTAGTGGTTTTGTTTTCTTGTCTGTCTTTTCTTGGTTTCAGTAATAGATTCTTTTCCATCATGGTATATGCTGTGGGATATTTGCATTTTGTCAGAAATAAATTTTATGTCAAAGATCGTAGCTCATATGTTAAATAGAAATGCTTCTGAAGTTGAGGTGCCTGCAAGAAATATTTTGTTATAGATATTGTCTCAGAACTACTGATAATAAGTGTACACGGGTCTGCTTGTATGAAGTGCTGAAGTAACTATTATGTAGTAAAGGGAGACAACTCTTCAGTCCTTACATGCTTCAAGAGTAACTTGACTGACATGAGGCCAGGTCAAAGTGACCTGTTGCTCTGAAGTTGTCAGGCTGCAGTGATCTCGATAATAAAACACATAGTTTTGTTCAGTGACCTCAATAGGTTGAGGTGAAGTGAATAATACACTTAAGCAATTAAGGAGATAGTGAGGACTGCATGCCTTACGGTCACGTGGGTGCTTTTGGCAGGAAAGGCAGGGTGAGTGAGTGTATGTTCGCTTCAGGGAAGGAGACTGACTGACTGACTGACAACAGTTTGGTTTTACGCTTTTAGCAATATTCCAGCAACATCATGGCGGGGACACGATTTAAGTTTCCACTTAACCATCTGAAGGAGAAGGGAGATAAGCAATACAGCAATATATTACATTTTTAAAATTGTTTTCAAGAGGTACAATGTATCCATTTTTCATCTGAAAATAGTGCAATGTTGGTTGTGCTTGTCTGGACAGTGTTGGTTGTGCATGTCTGGACAGTGTTGGTTGTGCCTGTCTGCAGTGTTGTTGGTTGTGCCTGTCTGGACAGTGTTGGTTGGTTGTGCCTGTCTGGACAGTGTTGGTTGTGCCTGTCTGTGCCATGTCTGGACAGTGTTGGTTGTGCAGTCTGGACAGTGTTGGTTGTGCCTGTCTGCAGTGTCTGGACAGTGTTGGTTGGTTGTGCCTGTCTGGACAGTGTTGGTTGGTTGTGCCTGTCTGGACAGTGTTGGTTGTGCCTGTCTGGACAGTGTTGGTTGTGCATGTCTGGACAGTGTTGGTTGTGCCTGTCTGGACAGTGTTGGTTTGGTTGTGCCTGTCTGGACACAGTGTTGGTTGATTGTTGCCCTGTCTGGACAGTGTTGGTTGTGCATGTCTGGACAGTGTTGGTTGTGCTGTCTGGACAGTGTTGGTGCCTGTCTGGACAGTGTTGGTTGGTTGTGCCTGTGTCTGGACAGTGTTGGTTGGTTGTGCAGTGTCTTGACAGTGTTGGTTGGTTGTGCATGTTGGCTGTGCCTTGGACAGTGTTGGTTGGCCTGTGCATGTCTGTTGGTGCATGTCTGGACAGTGTTGGTTGTGCCTGTCTGGACAGTGTTGGTTGGTTGTGCCTGTCTGGACAGTGTTGGTTGTGCATGTCTGGACAGTGTTGGTTGTGCTGGACAGTGGACAGTTGGTTGTGCCTGTCTGGACAGTGTTGGTTGTGCCTGTCTGGACAGTGTTGACAGTGTTGGTTGTGCATGTCTGTCTGGACAGTTGCAGCATGTTGGACAGTGTTGGTTGTGCATGTCTGGACAGTGTTGGTTGTGCCTGTCTGGACAGTGTTGGTTGTGCCTGTCTGGACAGTGTTGGTTGGTTGTGCATGTCTGGACAGTGTTGGTTGGTTGTGCCTGTCTGGACAGTGTTGGTTGTGCTAGTCTGGACAGTGTTGGTTGTGCTTAGTGTTGGTTGAGCTTGTCTTGCCAGTGTTGGATGATCTCGTGTGTAAGGTTAAGGCTATTTAATGTACAAGTTTTGGTTTGGTTTTGTCCAGAGTTACCAAGTGAGCTGTCGAGGATCCAGAAGTATCGGAGTCTTGGGAACAGTCTGAACGTCCATGTGGTATCACTACTCATCAGGCTCATGATGTTGTGATGTCTAACATTGTATTTATTAAAGATATTTCTTCTAATTCTTTGTTTTGTGCTCAACTTGTGGCTTACAATGTTAAACAGGATATTTGTTCCACAACACACAGGACCGGGTTAGAACTGATCTTCAGCAACCCATGTTTGTCATAAGACGACTAACGGGATCGGGTGGTTAGACTCGCTGACTTGGTTTACACATGTCATCGTATCCCAATTGCGTAGATCGATTCTCATGCTGTTCATCACTGGATAGTCAGGTCCAGACTCGATTAAATACAGACCAGCGCCATATAGCTGGAATATTGCCGAGTGCAGTGTAAAACTAAACTCACTCACTCACAACACACAGGATCCTGAACAGACATAGGTTTATACATCACTTCAAGTCTGTCACAATTTTGGGGGGCAGACAAAATCCTGAGAAATCAAAATGTTCCTTTCAAAATGCCAGCTGATGTCTTTATTCTTCTATGCATAAAACAATACAGGATTTGGTCTTTCAGTGGAGTGATATTTCAAATTTGAATTAGTTGTTCAACAATGAGTATTATTACATTAGCTTCACTCATAGTTGTTCTCTAACTGACAACACATGAACAACAGGTGCTGTATTTACACTACTTGGAAACATGGGCTACTGTTGAGTTTTAATCCAATGTTAATTGCTGTGCACTGAGCGAGACCGCCCCAGGTAATGTGTTCAGGGAGGCAAGGAGGGATTATATCCTCCTATCAAACGGCAGATAAAGACTGTATTTCATGTGGAGAGAGTATATTGACACGCTTCACTGACTGACCGCCTGGGGCTGGATTCACATGACTAACTTTGCAAGAATCTGGTGATTTTCCTGCATTGAATACATTACCGATACACACTGCCGTGCTGTACTTAGGTAATAAATACTCACGTGACAAACAGTTGCCATAGAGATTTATATCTTTGATGGATACTTGGGCTATGAGCTATAAATATTTGAATGTACAGTTTTAGAGATGGAGAAGATAATAATATATCAATACCAGTTAACAAGGAAATTGTTATTGATAATTTCAACTTGGCAACAGACAGTCATGGTTGTTGGGTTGCAACATGGCCACGTGGTATTTGTTCACTTTGGCCATGACAATTTGATATGTTGTTTTACATTGTCATGATTGCTTGGTTAGTACAAACCGGAAACTAAATTATATTTCAGACAGAATATACATTTTTTTATAAACACATTTGTATTTAAATAGCATTTTATGTTTACTGAATGTCTGTAAAATGTAATTAATCAAACTTAAGAGTAACAAATTTCAAAACTCTGACACAAGCTAAGCTCACTTTTCAGTGGGCCCCATACACATGCCCACAAGCAGCAGGCATAACATTATGAATGAGCTTGGTCAAGATATGTCCCTAAATTGAAGTTTTAAATTCTATAACAACATTTATTCGTGGGAAATAAAGATGTCCATGTTAAAATACTTAACACCCTGTTTTCAGTGTTGGAATCTATTCTTTCCCACTTAGGGTACTCAAATATAATAGAAACACTATTGAGCCAAACAAAACTGTTTTTCCACTAACTCGACCAACTGGTTAGAAAATCTTGCCTTAATCAATTCAGGATACATGGCACAAAGGTCAAGTCAAGTTGGAGGGCGTTTAGAGTTTCAGTACGGTTGCCCTTTAAACTTGTATAATATTCCAGTCCATCATAATACTAGCAAACAGGGTGCATGGCCCACCCAGTTGTCCAAATCACGCAATTTTCTAGTGAAGAGTTGCCTCCCATAGGCACGCCAGAATCCTATCATCGTTCGCAGAATCTTACGATCCAAAGTCATCATTGCAGTCTTTCTTTCTATTATAGCCTGAGTTATGTGATGCATCTGAGATAATACTCCAGGTGATAGACCTGCACCTTGTTTTACGCCTAATTGCCGGTTTACTTCCGTGTTTTCGTTTATAATGCCAACCCCTGTTAAAGGCAAGAAAGCTTCAACTCTTTCTAGTTTTAAATGATTTATACACGTGTACCCTTTGCTGGGATGTTGCTATTCGATAATTCTTATTTTGCACAGGGACTCAGAAATCTGTTTTGTTCTACTAAATGTTTCCATTGGGTTTCCAAATAACGTCACATGTATCTATAACCGCCTTATATGAGCGTGACAAGGGTCTTCTTTTGGCCTTTCTGCATCTGACACAACCCTTAGTGTCTGGGCTTGGTTCCAGTAACAGGGACTGTTGGTGTATAAATTACGAACAAAATTACAAAAAAAGATCTTGACATGCTGTGTGTTAAATTCCTTTAGCACCTATGTACGAACAGGTGATGACACAAACCAACGTGCACTAATGACCATTGTGTGTCAGATTATAATCTGATGTATTCCTCAGGAAGTGGACATGTCATGTTTCGTGGTGTGTTTACTTTACACTCATAGTTGAAAAACGCAAAAAATATTTAATCTAAAGCGAACTTGATGTGACGAGTTGAGAGTTGTTTATCAAGGCCCTGTGGTATTTATAACAACCTAACATAATACAAGGCTTTACATAAATTATCCTGGATTCCCGTGTTGGCAGGGATGTCGTCATCCACTCAAGTACCTGCTGTCCCGATAGCATATCTGGAATGTTTGAGTGGTGAGGTAACGCTGACCCCGCCTATACCAGGTAGACCCAGGTTGATGAAAGCACTTCGTGTTACACGAGACCACAATGACGAGGGACTATATCTCCCGGGGATGTTTCGTCACGCGTGTGATAAGCTTTCATTTGTGTTTATATTCCATTGTATTGCTTGTATCGGAGATGGGTACACTGAGTGAAGCCCATTTCTGGTGTCCCCCGCCGTGATATTGCTGGAATATTGCTAAAAGTGGCGTAAAACCAAACTCAGTCAGTCAGTTGTATCGGAGATGCTACCCGGGCTTATAAAGTTTACATTCCCCACCCGGTGGACCCAGTGGTCAGGATGTGCCAGACAGGCACCAGGCTGGTACTGGATGCGGTCCTACACAGCTGCTGGGACTCGAGTCATCTCAAACACACGTTATAAACACAACTGCTATAATTTAATCACACAGTTAATGATGAGCATTTCGCCACATGAGGCAGATTGACGGGAACTTAAGAGCTGTGAAGCGTTATCTTTGAGTGAATGTACGTTATGTAAGCGTTATCATTGAGTGATTGTACGTTATGTTTGAATCACTATTCACATGCCACTGCTGTGTGACATTCATACGAGTTCATGTAATTGTGGAAGTGACAATAACACGCGAAGATTCCGATAACAATATAGGTCCTCACCAACACATGCTGGGCGTCAGAAGAGACTGAATGGATGGGTGGTCCGGCTCCATGACTTGGTTGATGATGCAGTCATCTTCTCCCAGTTGAGTGTATCGATGCTCATGATGTCAATCACACGGTTGCTTGGTCCAGACACGATTTACAGTGTAATATTGCTTGAATATCGTTGAACAAGACAAAAATGAGACTAGATGAGATATATATGGAATATTGCTGGCGATTTGTTTTTGTTGTGAAGAATTTCCAAAACAAAAACCTTCCAAATGATGATCCTAACTTGCTGTACATATCATTCAGATAACAAAATTTATCATAAAATACAATGTTAATATACAAGACTTGCCATCAAGGCATCCATTCTTCTGGGCAATTCAGCATCCATGTCGAGGAGATAGATACATGCTACTGGAAGCGATGTATACATCTCGTGCGACTGGACCAACAACGATTGACCACTACAGGTGCCCGGTGTATTTAGCGCTAATGGACACACTCCTCCCACCAGACCACTCTGGCTAATAGGCTAGTGGCACGAATGTGATGTGAATCCTTTACAGCAAGGATCAGCACGTAATCGTCCTCCTTCCGAGAACGATGGCTGATCGCCATGTGTTAAGAGCTTCTGCGGAATTTAATAGACATGCCTGCTAAGTGTTGAAATGCATATAAACGAAAAGCAATTCGTTCACCATGTCCAAGACCCACTTTACATAGCGTCCTTGCCATCTGTTTGTGCATATACTGCTACAAGGCGCACCTGTTGCGGAACAGGCCGTGCACTGCATCCTTATAGGGCAGACGTGTCGCCCGTCGATATACAGCACCATTTCCTGCAGTAGCGTCTCTGACAGGTCGTGAGTTCGAATCCCAGACTTGCACTGATTATGATCCATGGTTTAACAGTCATACTTGTTCGCTCATTTAAGTGGTGAACGTTCTAACACCTGCACCACTTCTGGCTTTAATTCCACCTACCACTGAAACACGGTTGAAACTGACGAAGCCATGGCCGTCAATTACATGAACATATTCCAAGTCTTCGCGGGAGAAAGTGTCCGATGTTGGCCATTAACACATTTGCTGCAAGATATTTCTAGTGTATCATAGTGATGACGCGCTCTGATTGTTGTCATGCACACAAAGAAATTTACATATACCGGTATGCTGTTCTTTTCTCGTGGGATGTTCGGAAGGACGCTCGGAAAACGTCGTGTTTGACATTCAGAACAATTAACTAACTGTGACAGGTCACTCGTCATCATGAAGAGAGATGCTATGACTGTTGCCCAACACGGATTTCCCAGCTTCGTGATAACACATCACCGATATTGAACGCACATTGCTGGTGAATATTACTGGCATATATCCTCCTTAACCACTGGTAATAATCTCTGCAATGGCTATTGCGTGAGTGGCAGGTGGTACCCCTATTGGAAGACATGCTGACTCCTGTTGAAAACACCTGGTGTCGTTACCGACTTTAATAGCTCCACCCTTCACTATGTCACCATTAACGCCTCATGGACTCTTGGTCGGCAGATATTCTAGACTGATAATTCTCTGGCGTTGATATTTTGAAATTCCAAAGCTTCTTGCACCTTCACTTCTTTGTCTTCTGTGGAATAAATGGGTACTCACACCTCTCGGTTCAGTAACGGAATACAACACATAGTCCACCATGTCATGACATCGTGTGATACTACTGCCTCATATCAACCACGATGGCTCCCACGTCGTTGCCGAGTGCCATTAGACCCCCTGTGTGTGACATATCCTATTTATTCCCCATGCAAGACTGGCGTCACTATATCACATGACAGGGGTTGACAACGTGATTCACTTGCTTGTCATCTCCTGAATATACTGACGTGAGTATAAACCAACTCAAACAGTCTCTTTAATAACATAATGTGAGTTTAAACCAACTCAAACAATCTCTTCAATATACTGACGTGCGTTTAAACCAACTCAAACAATCTCTTTAATAAAATAATGTGAGTTTAAACCAACACAAACAACCTCTTTAATATACTGACGTGCGTTTAAACCAACTCAAACAATCTCTTTAATATACTGACGTGAGTTTAAACCAACTCAAACAATCTCTTTAATATCCTCATCACGAGGGTATTTGGATGTTGTTGTTTTGCATTTTGTTTTTGAACTGGTGCCCACAGTGCCCATGCAGGAAACATATGTTCGTGTCTGTTTACCAACGCCGCAGTGTCTACTTGCACACAGAAATGACTGGACATTCTTGTATGGCGTAGATCTCTGTGCAGCAATCTGTATGTCGGTCGTATGGGGCTGCTTAACAATGGAGTGTGGGACTATCCTGACGGCGTGTTCTCGTAACCGATGTCGTATAGCATATCAATCACTGGTTTGCCCGGTCCACACTTACAAGTCGCTGTGTCACAGAATATTGTTGATGCCATGTAAAACAAACATCGAAATAAACAAACATGTGAACTCGGAAATTATTTCACGTGTTGAGATAACTGGGGTCCATGCGATTAATTAACTAATTACGACAGCAGGTGAATGTTAGGTTCAATACATCGCACCCTACATGCCATATCAGAGGATTGTAGCACAGTCCTTTGTAGGTATTGGTAGCCAATCCAGGCGGACGATGCAGGACAAACACCAGGGCGAAGTGTTGTTTGGACAACCCAGGTATAGCTTCAGCAAACTCACCCCTCCATTAGAAATGATATCAGTTGCATGTGTTGGCTCCTTCCCCGTGTACAGATACCAATACCCCATTGCTTGTACATCCGTGCAAGTTATTGTCTTCATCATACCCGCCATTAGAGAACACCAATTATACAGAAAACACCAAAGACCATATATCGGTCAATGGTCTCTGGAAAACTCATTTCGCAGGGGGTAATTTTGTACTTTTACCTAAAAGTCTGTTTGGACCGTCCGACTTTGAAATGGCGACTACTCAGAAATGCGGAAATACCTGTCTTTCAGTTGCCAGTGATATATAAGAAAGGTGAATACATGACCACGTGACCTCCACCCGTGGGAACGAGATGCATAAACCCCAGGGATGACTCAACAACAAACCCGGGTATATATACCGCGTTGTCAGCGGGTGCCTAGTGTATGATACACACGGCACAGGTGACACTGTAACAAGTGGTCACAAAAACACGCCAAGTGTATTCCCTGACAGAGGTCGTTGTGGAAACTAGACTGTGGGATGCATTAGCACTCACATAGTGAACTCACTCACTAACCACGGTGTGCTACCCTCGCGTGTAGGGACGTACACGACTACTTGATCATGTTCGTGGTGTCTTTGTTCTGTCTAAAGCTCTTTTAGGAAACTTGGCATATATATATAGCGTACAGTAGTACATATATAAGAAGAAGTTTCTGAAATAATCACACGACACGGATCTATATCCTTCTATATATTCGCACGACACGGAGAAGATCCGTGTCGAGAGATTATTTCAGAAACTTCTTCTTATATATATATATATATATATATATATATATATATATATATAGAGAGAGAGAGAGAGAGAGAGAGAGAGAGAGAGAGAGAGAGAGAGAGTCCCACTTACGCCACACAATGGTGCACTCACTCACACACTGCACAGCACATGATGCTGCCTGACGTCACCATGGAACCACGGTCATCTGTTGTCTTTTCCATCAGGTCCGTCACGCTGGACTGTTCTGAAGGTGTGACGGTGACAATACCTGACATGCATCACGGCAGGTGAGTCGTTACACCTGACACACACGGGTAATAATGCACGTGGCCATGGGATGCATGTCGGTCCTACATCGTCAAGACCACAGACGTTTTATTATTTTTTTTAATTATCTTTTTTATTTCAGAAACCCCTGTTACGAATTGGGACTGCAGCCCAGAGAAGCAGAAACCCCATTTAAGAAAAAAAGGATTGAAGCAACCGGCTTCTCTGTTTTTAAAGACATTAGAGAAGCACATTGTATTCACTCACACATTCACACTGACAGAAAAGGTAGCAAATAACATGAAGTTTATAGTAAATAAGGAAAAATGACTAGCATATGATGGATGAAATGACACTTTGGTGCTATGTACTGTGATATAGATTTGGGTGAGATGTTTAATATGCTGTTATACAGATGGATGTGAGTGTACTACTGGTCTACAACAGCAAGATACAACATCCATTTTTGATAGAATTTAAAATTTCACTTATAGAGAAATATTTTGTTTTCTCAACCTTGTATCTATCACTCAACAGTCTCTTAAAACAAGTAATATTTGGAGTGGAAGAAGCAGTTTGCATTTATAAACATGGAACTTGTCTAGTAATAAAATGAGGTCAAACAACTCATCAGAGACAAAGTTGTAACCAAAAATAACAAGCTCTGAAGTAAAGGTGAAGGTACACACATGAGAACATTTGTCAAGGAACAAGTCTGAGAGCGACCTCCAGAAAGTTTGGACATAACTGCATTCCCAAAATAAATGAACAAGAGTTTCAGCACAATCCCCACAAAAGGAGCACTTGTTACTAGATGCCATCTTAATCTTGGCCAAATAGGAATTGGTTGACAGCAACCTATGCAGTATTCTTAATTAAAACCACCTAAGCTTTGTCTGGTGTTGTCTTTATTGGTTTTAAGAATATCTCTTCCCAGTTGACCACAGACGTTTTCAGCTTGAATCAGCAAGCGAGTGGGTTAATCACTATCGGTGAAATTGTGGAATCACAATTACTGTTCAGATTATATTTCTGATTAAATGTTGATCATACTGAAAGGGATATGGTGAAAGGTCACACTTGACAAGTCTTGATGGGGTGTAACATCAGTCACCACGTATTGGCCGCGACTTCCTGGTTCGGTAATCACATTCATAGAATTATGTGACATATTTACTTTATTACGATGACAATGTTATTTCGGACAGACATACTATATATTCTGTGGCTTGAAGAATACGTATTTTACTTACAGAAGACATTTTACTGCATGTTGTTCCACACACATTTTAAGCATCGGATCATATACATATTTCTGTACAGGAAGTCCCTGCAGTAACAGATACGTTACATGAACACATTGTACAAGTCTGTTATCGGGAGTGGTTGTATATATCATCAACATGTCATCCTCGAGTTAACATTAAATAATAAACGAGAAACGAAATTCGTTATAAATGTGTGTTGAGTGAGGTTTACATATGTGAGTGAGTGAGTGAGTGAGTTTGGTGCCGTGACGACAGTACTCCAGGTATGTGTCAGCTTGACCTGGGAGGGCCGTCAGCATGGACGCCGGTCTCCGAGGTGTACCACTTTAGCGAGACTCTTGTCGGGGACATCCTAGAAACACCTGCAGGGGCGAATGGAGTCTCGAGCTCACGAATATACATAGGTTATAGGATATATCATACCGATGTATTATACAGATCACATATTGAACTGTGACGATTGGTAGACATGTTCATTCAAAATGCTTGGCATAGTGTATGAAGCGAACGTTTACGCATTTATACAGATAAATATCGTATTTAGAAGGATTTATTAATCTCAGGCTATTAAAACAAGCGTAGTTTGACGTTTCGCAAACATAAGAGAATTGTACATAGGTTTGTGTGATGAAGTTTACTGCATTATTGTCCTGTAATTTGGCAAGACATGTTTTCGAACACGTGCGCGCTTATTCTTTGGCCAGAATATAATCGATGACATTTCAAATTCCGAACTGCGTGTCTGCAGTTTCCCAGAGATTTGTTATATTGGTCATTTATTACAATAATTGCTCTTGCAAAGATCGTATACCGATCGGTATAATGGCCCCTGGCTCTTGCAAGCGGGGTTAAAGAGTCCCACCACGGTGCACGCTGCAACACATCTTGATGAAGTCCCACCACGGTGCACGCTGCACACATCTTGATGAAGTCCCACCACGGTGCATGCTGCACACATCTTGATGAAGTCCCACCACGGTGCACGCTGCACACATCTTGATGAAGTCCATGGCAACCAGGGCGCTGCTTACAAACCAAAGATCTGTTTCAGGCTGGATCTGACATTAGAGCCTTCGATTAGCGGATCGTGGCAGGGAAGGGTCATCATTTTATTTGTTTAAACTGAGACACAGGAAATCTGAATTTACAGGATTATTTACTCACACATGACTGAGTGAGTATAGTTTTACGCCGCTTCTAGCAATATTCCAGCAACATCATGGCGGGGGACACCAGAAATGGGCTTCACACATTGTACCCATACATGAACCCGGTTTCGGTTTTTGTCCGACAATTTCACAACCTCCTTAGCTATGCCCCATTACCCCAGCCAATACTTCAAGCAGCTATTTAAGTATATATGAATATCTCATTAAAAAGAAAATATTCCAGGTTCTTGCAACGTATTGACCATTATGTAAACACACGCTCGGGGATGTAATTCAACATCAACATGTTGGATAAGACGTAAGGAGGTATGTTACTGGTTTAACCAACTCACTTCAACACAGAGCCCAGTACTCTTTAGTTTTCCTAGGGTTGTTCCAGGACCTTCTTCCCGTGGGACCTTTGACTAACGCTTAGTCTCTGAATATATATAGTGTTGGTGGGAACAAATAAACCCATTTAAATTGAAAAGGAGACCCAGTGAGTTTGGAACCAGAGGAAATCTAGACTTGCTTCATTTAGGGCTTTTGCATTGCAGGGACGAGACTGTCCCAGCACCCAACTGCCAAGCATCAGAAGCGACCTGGTTCACTGCATCAGGTGGACGGGCTAAAGCGGACACCTCCCGTAGTGTAGTGGTTAGAGCATCCGCCTGGTTCGATCCCCGGCCGCGTCATATCAAAAGACGTTACAAAATGGTACTTGTTGGTCCCTGCCTGGCGCTCGGCATTAAATGGTACAACAAGGACTGGTCGGCTCGGAGTTAGTATATACTAGTATGTGTCCGAGTGGGGTATTTCATGCTTAACTGCGGCATGGTATCTCAGTGAGCTAGCACTAAAATCAGCTAAATCTGGGCTAGTACAAGCAGCTACACATACACACGCATGCACGTCGTCATATGAGCGAAATATTCTTAAGTACGACGTTAAACCCCATTTCTCCCCACCTCAACTCAAGTCTACAATGAGTTGGCAAGTCTAGATTGCCTCAGCAGCTGAAATATAGCATTATACTGGACTCCATTTGGAATTTGTTTTGTAGGTGTATATTTTTATATTTTCAGGGGCTAAATGTCAATCTAGGACTGCCTTGGCTTACTGCTGTGTTTCAGTCATTGGTTTGTCTGGTTCAGACTACACGTGGATGTGATATAGATCTAACCTGAAATACTGATGACGTTAAACAATATGCACTCAGTATACCGCGATCCCCGTCTATAGGTGTATACAGAACCCCTCCCCGCTAACAAAAACATTGACATGTGCTGTGTACCACAATATAGATTAATAACATGGACAGTCGGCGATGTTGTAATGTACGATAGACGCCAGTACAGTGTGCCAGTCAAACAGTACTTGTATACAGTAGATGATCACCTATAGACGTTTATCGTTTTATCACCCATTTCGCTCCGTAAATTATATTTTTTCAGCTGTCATTAATATCTCATAAACAAACGTTTCTCACGGTGCCGACTTGATGTCACACAGACGAACGTACACGGTGTTTTGAAAGTTTCTCCCCTTTCGCCAACTCGTCCTACCTGTTTTCACCTGTTGTCTGATGGCAAGCCGCACTTGGCCACCAGGCGGCGTTGGGATCGCTGTTAGCTTTGTCAGACAGACACCCTAGCAGAGGGTACAGTTTTTGGACAGTACTTTTCAATACTTTTGTTGTCTCATTTGGATAGAAAGGTAAGTTGTTATCATGTCTGCCTGCTAAGTATTAGAAGCTCGGTTCCATGCCTTCCTTGACCGTGCTTGTTATGTGTGCGACAATCTGAAGACCTTTGTCGGAGGGGGGAGGCCGCTGGAAGAACCAGCCAAAGAGGTCACGTTTGATTGACAAGCAGTGTATATTCGATTTCAGACAAGCATTTCTCGTGGATTTTGAACGTATTGGAGGTATATTTACATGTGAAAGGTGAGTTTAAATCTTAACAATGTTGATCCAGCTCGTACAGTTCCATCCACCAACGATTAACGTGTCCAAACCGTAGACCGGACGGGTTCTCGTGCGCACTTTCCACGCGACTGTAGTCTGTTGCAGCCTTGGAACACATTCGGCATTCCTTGTTTACAAAATGCTCGGAATAACCTGCCATAATCAAGGATATTGTCCGTGTTGTGCATAATAAGTGTACGCCATTGTGAGAGGCCTATACATTTGGAATATTACGTATCCGGAATGTGAAGACGTCAGCCGATGTGTTTATGCACATTGTGTGGGTTTACCTGTATGTCGGGGCAAAGTGAATAGTCAACGTACGCTATAATTATCATGGCCGACTGTTGAAGTGTCGTGCTATTTCTCCAGGTGAGTCACTTGATCTGGGACACGAGTTCCCGGAGTTATCATGTATATGGCTTGTGTGACAGGGCATGGCAGATTGACCTCTTAAGTCACCTCCAACAACAGTTACTGTCAACAAAAAATCCTCACCTGATGAAAATGCAAAATCGATTTACCCGTGTGCCAATCGTGTGGTAGGCACTCCACCATCCAACTAATTCTATTTGTGTTCCATGTACAGATTGTTTTATCAGGTGTTTTTTTTACACTGCACTTTTGTATTAATAGATTAATCTATGCAGATACATGGCACACATCACACTATCAGTTTATGACTGGGCAAAGTTTCTGGAAACACTGGGAACCTTTGGACTACTTTTATGACTGGTGATGGTGTTAATCTGTTATCCTCTTGTGGGATATTTGATAGGATATCATATCTCTTATGCGGGATCCACCACTTAGACAATACCTCACACGAATATATATATGGCTGGTCATTTCCCCACTGTCATGTTTTTGGTTGTTTTTTTAATCAAATATAAATAAGAATGAATGAACAAGAAGTAGTATAAAATACATTTCATTCTTTAATATTCAGGCTGATTTTCTTGGCAACTGAGTTAATACATTTTGGGAGGTGTTTTCAAAGAGGTGGGGAAATGAGCAGGCAATATTCTTGGGTGGGGTAATGACCTGATGGGGGAAAAGACCTGATGGGGAATTGCCCTACACCCATATCTATTGGTGTTCAGGAGTAACAAAGTGAGAGCAGAACTGAGGTATGTCTATTTGACTGTTCACATATTGGACATTCTGTCAAAGATGAGGCCATTTTAGGGTTTGGCAGGCTAACATTGACACAGCACGTAGTAATGTTTTGTCTTAACTTGGCTATGCTGGATATAGAGGCATGAGGTTAGTCAGGGCTACCATCTTCGTGTCAAGACTGTCAGTGGCAATAATTCATACCCCATGGGTTGGGGGAAGGGGCATTGGGGTTCATGTGTGTTTGGATCTGAATCCTTTGAGAGGGTTTGATAAGTCATTCAATGGGAAGGTGGAAGTGATGTGTTTGTAGGGGGAGTGTGGCATAGGGGAGGTATATATGTTACTAGGGAGGGATTTAAACTTTAAGGGCCGATTTGAAATGTCTCAGTTTTTCGTGGTCATGTCAACCCAGAGTGTCTGCTCATCACACTGAAGGCCCAGGTTCAATTCCCCACCATGTGAAGCTCATTCCCATGTACACCAACATTATATTGCTGGAATATTGTCCAGTGAGGTGTTTTCAGTTCAGCTTTACAAGGCATGTTGTGTTTCATCATGTATGGTGTTAATTGGCTGTTGCTTTCCTGTAAATGCAGTTACACTGTTTGTGTGATAAGTTCCTCTTTCTACTAAGATGTAATTTGGTAATTGTGGCAATATTTTGGGAAATTACTTGTGATTATGAAATCAGGAGATTAGCAAGGGTAAACTATGCTCCAAACTGCCAGCCAATTATTTTTCCCATTGTTGAATACCTACTTACTTACACACTGCAAATTGATATAGCACAGAGGTATCCTGTTACACCTGTATGTATACCTACCTGGTCCCATTCCACAAAGCTGATCTTCACACTGGAAAGTCTGTACAAGTATGGGATCACCATGACACTGCAGTGATCTTCACACTGGAAAGTCTGTACAAGTATGGGATCACCATGACACTGCAGTGATCTTCACATTGGAAAGTCCTACAAGTATGGGATCACCATGACACTGCAGTGATCTTCACACTGGAAAGTCTGTACAAGTATATGGGATCACCATGACACTGCAGTGATCTTCACACTGGAAAGTCTGTACAAGTATGGGATCACCATGACACTGCAGTGATCTTCACACTGGAAAGTCTGTACAAGTATGGGATCACCATGACACTGCAGTGATCTTTACACTGGAAAGTCTGCAGGAAAGTCTGTACAGTGATCTTCACACTGGAAAGTCTGTACAAGTATGGGATCACCATGACACTGCAGTGATCTTCACACTGGAAAGTCTGTACAAGTATGGGATCACCATGACACTGCAGTGATCTTCACATTGGAAAGTCTGTACAAGTATGGGATCACCATGACACTGCAGTGATCTTCACACTGGAAAGTCTGTACAAGTATGGGATCACCATGACACTGCAGTGGTGATCACTTCACACTGGAAAGTCTGTACAGGTATGGGAGTCACTGCAGTGATCTTCACACTGGAAAGTCTGTACAAGTATGGGATCACCATGACACTGCAGTGATCTTCACATTGGAAAGTCTGTACAAGTATGGGATCACCATGACACTGCAGTGATCTTCACACTGGAAAGTCTGTACAGGTATGGGATCACCATGACACTGCAGTGATCTTCACACTGGAAAGTCTGTACAAGTATGGGATCACCATGACACTGCACTCATGTTTTGGAATGGGACCCTAATCAGTGTTAAATATGTATATCAGATGGAGCAACACTTGATTGTGTAGTTGCTGCTGATTGATACAACCATCAGTGTGTTAAAGGGGGTAGACGGGGGCATTAAGTGTCGGTATTAACATCATAGGCCCCCAGCAAAATATTTCCTATGGTTGGCTCATTTTCAAAGATGACATCCTTTTGAATCATAGAATTTGTAATATTAATGCTAGAATGTTTTAAGATCTCCTATTAGGAGCACGGTCTAGCAATGCCAGAAATCTTTGCTTATGGTTGTGTTTGTAGGTTCATCAACACTATGCAGGGTTTTACACAGACTTTTAAAAATGGGAGTCATGGTCACTCACAATACTTATTTTGGGGAGTCATTTTCAATATTTGGGAGTCATTAAAATTTTAATTATTCTTTATGTTGATCATTCTCAGTATGTAACTGTGTATGTCACACCACCAAACGAAACTACAGCCATGTTCAATTCAAACAGCCAGGATTACTGTCTCTTCTGAATTCTCTGGAACAATCTGACAGCTCTGTAAAAGTCAAACTATCATCCAACAATATATTTTTTTGGCTTATCAAATCGATTTTTTTTAACTGAATTGTGAGGGCGACCCATAAAACTTGCGTCAAGCTCATATCATAATATTTTGAGATTCGTTTACAAAATGTTGCGTCAACTACGCAGGAATCACCCGTCATGCAACGTTCAGTAAACTTGGACAAAGTACTGTGACTATGTGTCCCAGTCCACCCAACTGTGAATGGGTACCTCGTTAGGATGAGAAAGCAACAATAACTCGGTGCGCCTAGTGGCAGCAAGAGTTGTATACTCCCAAGGGAGTTGAGATTGATAATACGATGTGCCGTTGAGATTGACATCCAATGATCGAGGGAAAAATACAAGCGCCTTGAGCATGCACCAGTTGCGTGGATATGTGCGCTATATAAATATACTATAATAATAATAATAATAAAACGCTGACTATGTCTGTGCTTATGGTTGTTTATAGGTTCATCAACACTAATTCTTGTGCTTATGGTTCCATCAAAGAGGAATGAGGATGTTTAAAACTTGCAACACTCTGGGTTTGCACACATCAGACACATTGTGATGTAACTGAACTATTTTTGAATCATTTACCATTCAAGAATCCAACTGACTCACCCGTTGTACTGTCAGACAGAAAGTTATAAGTTTGTTTTTGGAAAGGCTGAAAAGTCACCCATCATTAGTAGAAGAATGGAAATATTATGGATTAAACGATTTTTTCCAATTGAGTGCAGGCATTAAGATGTTTGATGTTGCTTTAGTATGTATCTAACAGCGCTCTTACAAGATGAACTTCTCCCCAAGGTAAGCTGAATACACTGTATTGTGAGGATGTATGTCACAGAGTTTTATTGTTCATCTCTTGTCTACTCAACACTGCTGCTATTCATCCCATCTGTTTTAACAGTACCGTGGACAACCTCCATGGCTCCAAACACAGGTTGCCAGTAATTGGCATGATTTAAATTTGAATTGACTGTGGATGTAATTACCTCCCCTTGTTGACGGGAGTGAGGAATTCGAGAGGTGAATGTTTGTGTATAGTGTGTGTCTTTGTTGTGCCAAGTCCGTCCCTCCAGCTACATTCCAGGGGCAATGGGAGTGAGTGGAGAAATAGAGAAAGTCCCAGAGATGGCGACAGAAAGATAGGGTTGGCCATTGTAGTTGTGATTTGTCTCTGCAGTGTACCTAGCACCTGTTTGTAAACACAAGCACATGTTTTAGGTAACAGCTGATATTCATCATGGCCCTGATTATTGCTTGTATGGTCAGTCTTATGTCTTCATTTTCAGGCTTTGTTCTGTTTGTTAAAAACTATGATGACAGTTTGTGTTATATAATTAAAGGGAGAGGGTCAAGATCTAAACTAATGTAACTACCAAGGGTTCAGGTAACTTGTCCTGACTAATTTTCCACTTGCCCTGATTTTTATGACATAATCATGATGATGAAATTATGAGCGAATAAATAAACATGGTATTTGATGTTAATGTTTATTGAACTATTTATCATGTTTATCGAAAAGTGATAAATAGCAAAGAAAGATAACCCTACTTTATTATCAACAATATATTTTTTGGCTTATCAAATCGATTTTTTTAACTGAATTGT